CCTCCCTTCGCTCCGTCGCGGCCGGGCGGAGGCGTCCCCCAAGGAGGCGGCGGGGCGGACCCGGCGGCAGAGCGAGGTTGAGGGCGGCCCGTGGGATGGACCCCGGCCCAGTCCCGCTCTCACCGTACTCGCTGGGTGCCGGGTCCGGCTGGAAAGCGAAGTGAGCGGCGGCCCGGCGGGGTGCGCCCGGCAGCGGGGACAGGCGGCCCCAGAGCCTCGCGGGGAGCGCCCCGCGCAGCGCCCACCCCGCCGCCGCCATCCCAGCGCCGCTCTCCGGGGCCGCCGCCACCGCCGCACGTTCTAAAGAGGCGGGGTCCCGGGCCGGCCTTCCGATTGGCCACGGCGGGCGGGGGACGGACCAATCAGAGGCCGCCTCGCGGTGGGTGGAAGGGGGAGGGAGGGGGAGAGGAACGGGGGTTTTGGTGCGCGTGCGCTGCGCAGGCGGAACGGCGGCGGTGAGCGGCGCGAGCGGGTCGCAGACCTTTCGGTGCTACCACGGCCGGGGCTGAAACCAAAGGCTTCGCCTCGCCCTTTAAACGCTTTTCTTTCGTTCCGCTGGGGTTGTCGCGTCGCCATCCCAGAATCGAGAAATCGTTGAATGGTTTGAGTTGGGAGGGACCTTAAAGATCAAGTAGTTCCAACCCTCTTGCCACGGGCAGGGGCACCTTGCGTTAGACCGGGTTGCTCAGAGCCCCATCCAGCCTGGTCCTGAACACTGACAGGGATGGGGCATCTACAGCTTCTCTGGGCAACCTGTTTCAGTGCCTCACCACCCTCACAGTAAAGAATTTTTTCCTGATATCTAATCTAATACTACTCTCAGTTTGAATCCATTCTGTCTTTTCCTGTCGCTGCATACCCCTGTAAATAGACTCTCTCCATTTCTCTTCTAGGCTCCCTTCACAAATATCTGAAATCCTCAAATTCTGCCCCAGCAGGTGGCCCGGAAGGAGAAAAAGAATTCATAGACCTGCAGATATTACTTGTTCCACTCTGTCTCTCAAAACCTCCCTCAACTGCACAGCAACCTGGCTCTCTGTCTTATTTTTAGTTTTTTCCAAGGACTTTTTTTCCAAACGCTCTTGCTAATACCTTCATTACATTTTCTTAATGAAATTATTTATTTTATTGACATTATGGTCTTTCATATGTACATATTTTCCTTGACAGGTTTTATAAAAGCATTCTTTCTCATGTTCTTCTTACCAAAGTGACCACCTCACATTCCTTCTCCAGATGCTCCCATCATCCAGGTGAATCTTCTTGCTCTACTTCTGCAGCCGTTCTTCCTCCTTATATCCATCATGGACATCTTTTAGTTGCCTCCACATCAATCCTTTCTCTTTTGTCGGTGCTTCATATCTTGTCCATACACATGCCTCTTCATCAACCCCTTTCATGCAGCCTCCAACACATGTGACAGGCCCCTTTGAGTTGTCTGTGTTGTTATCTATAAGACCAACCATACTGCTTAAATTTTTACCTGCTCCAAGAACTCTAAACCTTGCCTCAGAGAAAGAAACTAGAAACTTGAATGATGTGTATATGGCATCACCTCTTTCAAATGACAGGGCTCAACCCTGCCTGAATATGGCCTTGCTTTAAATACTGGAATACAAGATTTCATATCTAACATGAAATATGTATTACTGTCACAATTAGATATTCTTTTTTTTCTATCTGAGTCCCAAGACGTTACTGAATATCCCTGTATCCCTGTAATGACCACAGGACCACTTCAGTGAAGACTATTGTTTTATTATGTATTTTGTGAAAAAATTTTTTTGTTTGTATTTAGAATTTCTTAATCATTGAGATTTGTGCAAAATGAAAGGCTTAATCCTGCTGCTAAATGAGTAGACCATTCACTTGCAGTTTAACATGCCCCTTATCCTTAGAGACTGCTGAGAAAGTACTCAAGATCATGAGATCAAACAATTTCTAACATATACCAGTATATCCCGTTAGACAACGATACAATTTAAGTTTCTAAAGGGGGTGAGAATTCTAATAAGCAATAGAAAAGCAAACTTTGCAATGAAAGAGGAGTATAAATATCAAATATTGAGATTGCTTCCAGCTTCACTGGAAGACAAAACATAGATCTTTGAAAAAGTTTAGCAAACATCATAACCATCAAATGATATATAACCATTTACTTGTATGGCTAATAATGGAAGAGATCACAAATATCCAAATTTACTATTCAAAATATTGTGCTTCTTTCAGAAAGCAGTGTATTTGAGGAGGAATTTAGCTCTATTGCACATTGCTGTGGCCAGATCTGCAAAATCTACAAATGGAGAATAATAGTATAGAAAGTAATTACTGTACATGTAGGTCTGTAATCTATTACTAATATGTCAGTTGTTGGATCTGTGAATTGCTAAGATCACACTATAAATTGTAAGATATATTCAGTTTATGTACCGTTAGTATTTGCTATGCTGTGTTATTCATAAAATGTAGCAATGACCTGGTCAAATATTCCAGGAGATACTTCAGTTTTCAGCATAGGCAGATAAAGGATATTCCTTCATGTCTGATTGAAGTGACTGTTGTCTCCTACAGCCGGTGATATATGGAACTTGAAAAGGAAAAGAATAGTCATGTGACCCAGTATCTTACAGGATACTGGGAAGTTATAGCATTTATGATGGAAGGATGGACAGAAGTAAGATGTGTTCACCTGCTAGTTAGACCTAGGTGAAAGAGAAGAAAGTATCTGGAGATACTAAGACCTAAATTATTATTGTCTTTTGAGTACAAAAGATGATTTGTCCACATGGCCTTGGGCATTTGCACTGGTACTAAAAAGAGAAATGGGCAAAGAGGTTTTTCCAAATGTACTTTGGCTGACCAATATGTTAGCAAAGATAAGTCCTAGCATTCATGTCTTTCCAGCTCTGATGGGGTAATAATTATATCCATGTTGTTGCTGATATGTGTTATGATATTCAAGCAACTTTAATTACACTTTGAAGTCAGCTTTCTCATTTGGAATTTGTTCAGTCACTTGGGGTCACTTCTGTTAAATCTATGTACCAGTCATTTAAGAGCTGAAATCAGCTACATTCCCCATCTGTGTATTAGTCATTGTGCACACTCTGAATGTTGTTAACAACCATTAAAAACTCTGGCAGTGATTACTATTAGTTCTGAATAATCATGCAGAGCAATTAATGAGGATCTGATGATGATCACAGATCACGTTGACATGGACCAGATTATACCCATGTTTATGCCAGCGTCAATCAGATGTAACTCCTTTGAAGTCCATGTTTTTGCCTGTGATTGACATGAATCTAGTTGTGAGCAAACTGCATGTATTGGATTCTGACATAAACATATGTCTTCATGTCTACTATTCTGTTCCAAAATCTCTCAAAATTTTTACATAGCTTGCAGCTGAACCTTAAACTTGTCACATTTCCCACTGGATGTTGCTTTATTTAAATTACATTGCTGTAGATTAGGAAGCATCCAGGTGATTTATGTTGCATTCCTTCATGCATAGTTGGTTTTCTGTCAATTCTTCCTGGCATGCTATAGTGTTGTTGTAAGTTTTCCTCACTGCTCTCCGGTTCATTAAAAGAATTTTGTAGCATGTTTCCACCCCAACAGTTGATTAGCTGATTCACCCTCTCTTATAGGAGCTGCTAGTAAGCACTCTTGTCAGGCTAACCCTATGTTTTGGCACTACAGCTGTTTTCTTGCTTTGTTTGCTGTCCTCTATCTTACTTCTACACTAGTTATCTGCTTCATCCTTCTTTTTCTGTAGTTTACTGGTACTTTGGAGCTGCTTTCTCCCATCCTTACTTTCTCAGACAAATGGATTACTTTGCTGGTTAGGGACAGTCATCTCTTTCTTGGATCCGTGAAAAGAAGAAGTTGTAACATTTGACCTGGCTGGCTTTATTGTCAGTCCTGTATGGATTAGACCTGTGAACAGATTGTCTTACCCCTAAGAACAAGTAAGACAAACTGCACAAGAGCAGAGCAGTAATGGCTTTGATCAATGGAACTTAGAAGTAAATGGTTTCATCTTAGGTTTTATAAATGCCAGGGAACCTTTTGCAGTTTAGCAGAGAAATTATTTTACACTTTCATAAAAAGCAGACCAGAGGCACTGGTCCAACCAAGATGTAGTCTGGCAGAGAGCAGGAAAAAAAAGGAAAAGAAACTTTAATGGAGTAGTTTTGTACTCATTTGCATGCCAGACCAGAAATCATCCAGTTACTTCTGACATATGACCCACCTCTGTGGTAAGAGAGTGCATTCCACTCAGTCTAGAATAGTAACTGTGGCTTTTATCCCCAGTTGCTTTTTAGATTTTTAGACACTGCACCAGAATGATTGCACTCAAGTTGAAGACAGTCCTATTTAAAAATTACATGAAAAATTCATAAAATTAAGTGAATCAAGACTAGAAACAGTAGTGTTTATCCACAGAGATGTTATTCAGTTTTTTTAATAAGACATTTTAGTGTTTCATAATTACGGGAAGAGAATCCCATTCTCCGCTATTTAATTCAATCAGTTTTAATTGCCTTGAAACCACAGAGCATATTTAACTCTATTTTCTACTGTGACTCAATCTAGAAATACCTGTCCAGGGAAATGATTTCTAATAGTTGACAGCTCATAATTCTAATGCAAAAAAAGTCATAATGAAGTCCAATTTGCACAAGCAATAAGGTTCACATTTCTATCCTGGGGATAGTTAAATATAGGAACAATTTACCTGAGAGCATTCTGGATTCTCATTGCTTGCATTCTTCAAGTAATAACTAGATTTCTTTGTAGAAGATGTACTGTAGCTCAAACAAAAGTTACGATCTTGATAGCAAAACTACTGGGTGAAGTCATACTAAAATAATCTTAGTAATACCTTGCAGTTCTAAAATATCTGTTGTTGTTCAGTAACAAACAAGAATTCCTATTTGACCAATCAGGAAAGTACACCAATAAATTTTAATCAGATTCAGAAACAAGTGGAGTGATGGATTCTTCATATATATTGTTCAAAAAGCAAATATACAGAAATCCTGTATTCAGGATTTTTAGGATACAGCATATCCACTCCTCAGATCATACATAAAATATACTGGGATATCTCCCTGATATTTTGATAATATACTACAGTACAGTGGTCAATTTTGGTGTGCTTGTAGTATAGCCACGTTCAGTGAAGTTAAAAACGTGTGGTTGATCAACTTATGT